AACCTATATAAATGATCAATTAATTTCATTATAATAAAAAAATCTATAGATTAAGAATTACATTAGAATATTTATACAATATTAAACATATATGTATACAACATTAAATAATCACTAATATTCTTTTTAACATATATTTTACTAATAAAACAATATTAAACATATATATTTAACATATATTAAACAATATTTTTAACATATATACTATCGTTTCTATTCTATATTATCACTAATATTTATATTATCGTTTCAACTTTACATTATCATCAAATAATCACTTACATTATCAACTTTACACCATCAACTATATGAGTTCTTTCAATTTCATTTTCAACTATATGTGAGGTGCTTTCAATTTCAACACTATAAGTGTTATTACGACAACCTCTCAAACCAAAATGTATAGCTCGATTAATTATATATGAACATATTTTCTCTCAATCAATACATGCAATATTCATTGTGACACTTACACAAACACCTTACATGCAAAACTCATTGTGACATTTTCACAAACACCTTACATGCAAAAACCACATGCTACACAAAACACAACATATTGGAACATTATCAACACTAAATAAACATTAAACAACACTATCAACTAAACCAAATGCAACATTATATATCAACATTATCAAATATTTCAAATATATCAAAAATCATACCTAGAGGAGAAGAGAACCTTGGTTGTGAATGGAAGAAAGGATGAAACGGTCTTGAATGGAAGAAGGATGAGAACCTTGAAGAAAGGATGCAACGATTTTGTCAAGAATCAAATGAAAAAGCTCTTGAAAAATGGGTTGTGTTCGTAACTATGTTGTTGTGAAAATGGGTTTTGGCAAAATAATAACGTTACTGTAATAGAAATGTTGGGCGCGTGTTTTATTTTTTTTATAACATGACTTTAGGCAGCGCTTTGAAAAAGTGCTGCTTAATCTCACCCTTTGTTAGCGCTTGTAGTTGAAAGTGCTGCTTAATCCCCCCCCCCCCCCTTTAGGCAGCGCTTTAATAAAGCGCTACTTAATCCCCCCCTTTAGGTAACGCTTTAACAAAGCACTTTGTAAGCCCACCCTTTAGGCAGCGCTTCTCCAAAGCACTACAGTACCTACTCCCTTTAGCAGCGCCTTACAAATTCACATTAACCCACTTTAGGCAGCACTTTCACAAAGCACTACTTAAGCCCACCCTTTACAACGCTTCTAAAAAATGCTTTGTAAGCCCACCCTTTAGGCAGCACTTCAGTACCAACCCCCCTTTAGCAGCGCTTTATCAAACCATATTCACCCCCTTAGGCAGCGCTTTTTTAGAAAGCGTTGTCTAAGGTATACGACCAAATTTCCGTGTTTCTAAAATTCCGTTTTAGCAGCGCTTTCGATAAGAAGCGCTGCCTTAGGTGTGCTGTTTAATCTTATTTTTAGCGTAGTGGATGTTTTTTTGTTTATATGCGCAAGGAGTATTAAGTTGTTTTAGCCAAAATAAGCCAAAGGGGGGAGATTGTTAATTCTCTACTTTTATGATTGGAATTTTGTTTGGTAAAACTAACTTAGCATAAAAATGTTGAAAGAAGATGTTCTAGCAACTGGAGAAACATGTTGAATAAGAGGTCCTATGCAGAATCATTCTACATCGCACATGTGTACAACTGGACTATTGGATTATTTTAGATTTTATAGATGTAGAATATTTTGGGAATATTATGATGTCATCTGTGGCGCTCAGTTTAAGGATTAAGAGATTCAAGTTGAATTCATAGAGTATTCTTAGTTTCTAATTATGGAGCTAATTTAGGAAACTAATGATTGATGTCTTATTTTTATGCAGAAATTTCTGCAAAGTTTTAGTAGCTGATTTGATGCAGTTTTGAAGCCCAATCCATTACGGAAGATTGGTTTAAATAGATTGTCACAAACTTATTTTTTGTGTGGACTTTACGTGTAATTTTTGTTAGGGTTTGTGTGTTATTTGTGAGCCTCTCTAATATCATCTTGATAAAAGAGTAGGATTGTTCTTTTGAGTTGTAATTTATGTTAGTCATTCTAAAGCTTTTAAGCAGTGAATAATTGTGAGTCTTTGAAGTGTGTCTTCTAAAATATTTCTGAATTATTTAGTGTTGATCCATCACTTACTGTGATTGGTAGGGATTCGAGAAGGGTCTCATACCTAGGTGAGTCTTTGGTAGAAGTTAAGCACGGGTAGTGATAAAGTGAGTAGATTGTAAACTAGGTGAAAGTTTGTTGTGGGTCTACAAATTGGTAGTATCTAGTTGACTTCGTCTCTGGCTTGGTGGCCCCCAGAGTAGGTGTTGTTGTCCACTGAACCGAGTTAACAATTTTGTGTGTTATTTAGTTTTCTACACTGTTTTATTTGTTATATATGTTTATTATGTTGTTGTTCATAGATCAGTGTCTCGACATCTCTTAGGACATTTGTAATCTGACTACCAGAATTTCAATTGGTATCAGAGCAGGCATCCTACTCTGACTCTGGGTGAGATTCAGGGAAGATACTTTCTGGTATAATGAACAAGGAAGGAGGATTTATGAGCATACCACCCTACCTTTATGAAACCAATTATGATTATTGGAAAGCTCGTATGGTGTCTTTCATAAAGTCCTTGGACAAAAAGGCTTGGAAAGTTGTGGTCAAGGGATGGGATCCACCAAAGATTGTAGGTCAGAATGAAAAGGTTATTGATGTTGTGAAGGCTGAGGAAGATGAAACAATCGGCCAAACAATCATCCGATATAAAATCAATGAAGTCGCCATCAAACGTATTTTATCCCACCAAAAGGAAAGGTAAACATCGAGAAAACCTGAAGAAGGAGAAATCACGGTCTTTCGACCGAGAGATCGGGTAAGGGAGTCGGTTACATGAGGGGAAGGTATTAGCACCCCATACTCCCGTAGTACTCTACGGTATCCACTCTTGTTGTTCTAATCAAAGGGTGTAAAGTCTAAAGTTTAAGAATTAAATTCATGCAAAGGGGAAAGAAAAGAAAATGTGGGGAAAAGAAACAGAATATTTACAAAAATATGCTCGATTAGGCCCCACAAAAAGCTCCACCTACGTATCCCTTGAAAGGAATCAGAGCATTCTTAGTTCGGCTCACATGTTTTGGGTTGTTTGTGTTTTTTAGTTAAAAAGACAAAAGCGATAATCAAGATGGCAAAACATCAGATATGATGACAAAACATTAACAACAATGGAAAGACAACGACAAAGATGGAAAAACATTAACAATGATGAAAAAACATTAACAATGATGGAAAAATATCAACAACAAAGACAAGGCATCAACAATGACGGCAAAACATCAACAATGATAGAAAAACATCACAATTTAGATGATAAAACATCACATCTAACAATGATATTAAAGATAAAAGTAGGATAACAAACATAAGCGATGGCGAAACATCGACACAGAGATAGCAAAATATCATGGTAAAGATGGCAAAACATTACAATTTAGATAATAAAACATCACACTTAACAATGATATGAAAGATCAAAGTAGGATAACAAACATATGCGGTGGTGAAACATCAACACAAAGATAGAAAAGTATCATGGCAAAGATGGTAAGACATCAACTTAACAAGGTTTAAAACAAAGCCAAAAGGTGCACAAATAATTAAGATTGGTTTGTATTTTTTACCTTGAAGAAGGATTTAAGTTCATTGGGGATGTTTTATGATTTGCCAAGAAAAAGAAGGTTTTCGTTTTAAGATGCAATATGCAAAGAAAAAAACTAAAGGAGACTAGCCTAGCACTACCCCTAATGTTAGAATACAATGGTGGTCCTAAGGTTTGGATTAACAAAAGGGGAACATCTACCTGATATTAGCCTGCATAGCTTGCAGCCTAAGGGAGCATGGTATGTACAAGGATAAAAACAAGCAAGCTCGAAGGAGCATACACATAAAATGGTAAGGAAAATAAGCGAAATGCTTTAGCCGAGGGGAGCGTATCACCCGAGACAAACAAGCGGGAATAGGATGCAAAACAAAAATGTGATATCCAAAGTGATTGAACACCTAACCAAGATATAGAAGATCGAGGTAGGCGACAGAAGACAATATGAACGATCACAGAGTGTCAACATTGACCGATGCGGACTCCTAACAAAGTGTGGGGGTTTTATTGCAAAACCCTTCCCCACATGACCGACTCGATACACAAGATCTACACGACTCTGAAGCATCGACGTACGACGTGAGCTAAGGATGACATGGACTAGAATATGCAGGGGTCGATTACGGACCCTCCCTACTTGCCTCTTTTGAGGACTTATCATCTGTAATATAATACGGACACAGATGTAAACACACGTGCGGAATACCTACTTCAAAGGTAGGATTTTAAACAAACACAAATAGTATACAGAAAGCAGTGCCTGCTACAAGACTTTAAATAGTGACTTCGAGGGCACGCTCTTTATTTCCCACTTCTCATGATATCTAGAAAGCAATAAAATGCTTAAATGAGATAAATAGGAGACAATATCAAACGAACAAAAGTTTGTAGCACGGCAAGCAAAGCAGAGAAACCCAGAAAACTTCGAGTAAGCTTCACCAAGCAACGAAAAAGAGTAAGAGATCAAATTCCTGGAATAAGCGTCGAAATATTGTTGATGTGAAAATAAATCACAATCGGAATCTCAAGCACATCCACATATCACACGACAAACCTGCATAAAACTCAAATCTCAACAAGCAAAGGTGAATTACAAATCTCAAGTAATCGAATAATCCCGACTTAATTCCTAAAATCAAATAAAAAACCTAACAAATTTTATTGATTTTTTTTATCGTGTAAAAAGACTCAAATAAAACAATTATCAAAAATATCCAAACGAAAATGAAAACAATAAAAAAGGGGTGCAATCTGTACACAATGTTGCTGTATAGCAATCCAAATTCTGGTGCTAAGCCCAGTCCATGAAACATTTTTGTTATAGTTCTTCCAGACTTCACAAAAAAAACCTTTGATGGGCTTAAGGGGTGGTGCGGTCCGGATCTGGGTGGCGCTGAAGAAGCAGAATGAGGCGCTGAAGGCCCATCATGAAAGCAGTCCAAGGGGGCTTTTTTTGTTCAAACAACCAAGGCTTCTCCAGAAAAAACTGCAACGGGTTTAATGCAAAGGAAAGAATCGGGTCCACTTCCTACATGATCCACCCGAATTCACAACATCACCCAATTTAAAGAACTAGGGTTATAGTTATACCCCTTCCACTTCTTCGTTAAACAGAGGTCTGTTCTCTTCTTCTCTCAAACCACAAAATGGTGCCACAACGCCCTCAGTCTCTGTTTATCTCTCTGAAACAACATCCATCACCTCGCTTCTTTCTTCGCGTGCTCGAGCTTCGATTCCGCTCCGACTCAATTTCTTCCATTGCGGATTTGACTTCATTCGTCTCACCCTCATCTCTACACGACTCAAATTTGATTTCTACCTAAGCTCGTGACCAAAGTGAAAAATCTCGATGTGACGATACAAATATGATGCCACCGTGATACGACATAGAGAAATAGGATGTGAGGAGATCGAAGGAAGCAGAACCTGAATCGGTTTCTCGAAGTGGATAATGATAAACTCCATAAGACCATAGAGGAGGTTCCGATGTTGTTATCATGTATCGGTTTCCTCTACTTTATCGCCTCTTCTCTATTTCTCTGTGCTTCTTTGGATGTGCAAATCTGTTATTATCATTGCGGTGTTGATCGAAACCATGACGCTGTTTCCGTTTATTCTTGCGGATTCCGTTGATACTGAAACTGCTTCTTGCAGAAGGTTGGAGTCGCTGAAGATGAAGATTGAAGGTTGGTGCAAATATGATGAAGGTTTGAGGAGGATGAAGCGATTCTACAGGAGTTGAAGGACGGTGGTGCAGTAGTGGAAGAAGAAGGTGGTGATGAATGATGGAGCGTGAATGCAGGAAGACGAGGCAGAGAGAAAGAAGAAAGACCTTTTGGTGTTTTTTCCAGAAATTGGAGAATGAGGATGAGAGGAGCAGAGAGATTTTTTTGGTGATTCTTCTATAGAATGAAGAATGGTGAAGATGAAGATGAGAAGAGAAGAATGAAGGTTAGGAATATATGTAGATGTATATGAATAGTGATTCTTCTTTTCTCTTGGTGTTTCCTAATATTTCAGCAATTTGATTCAAGTGTGTTAATGGTTGATAGTTCTTCAATCTTTAAATGTTGATAATGTCTCTTTATATATGTTTAAGAATAAGACCGTTGGTAGTACGGAGACGTCGCTTTCACATGCCAGCTACAGAAATGGTAGTATTTTATCGTGGGAGACAACATAATACAATACATAAGCAAGTAGTCGTATATTTTAATCAAATTGACTGTATCGTAAAGTTAGTGGCTAAGTTTCTTTAAGACTTTATCTTCTGATGATTTACTTCTGATTGAAGTAGTAAGCTTGGAAGATATATCTTAATCTTGTCTTTATCTTCTTTTCTTCTTGTTGTATTTTTTATGATATGATGAGTGATATTGATCCAGAAGATTCTCCTTTGTTCTAGAGTCATAGTCTTTCATATATTTGAACATTGTCTTTAGATATATATAAGCAATAACTTATCTAAAGAACAATTTCTTCTTTGAGTGAAAGCTCTTCTGATCTACTTCTTGAGTTGATCCTTGATTCTTGATTATCAAATTTTCTAAGTTGCATATCTGATGTCTAATTTCTGAAGTGATAACTTATATCAGTACATTTGATTTTGATGTTGAGTTCCTTCTTTCTGATCCCTTAAAGTCTGGTCTTTAGATTGAGCTGAAAGAAACAATTTATTATCAGCTACATCTTTGTTGTTTGATCATGAATTCCTTTCTTTCTTTGGTTGGAAGCATATATATTTTCTGATCTTAGAGCAACGCTTTCCTTAGAACATACTTGATTCCCTTTCTGATGAACATTCAGCATTCTGTAGAACTACTGATGTTTATGTAGAAATGGTCTTAATAGTTCTTCTATTGAATGAAGTGGTTCTTTTGATGATATTTGTCTTCATGTGGATATTACTTTTGTTGAGTAGATTGGCTTGAGAAGATATCATCCTTTGATCATGTATTATGATGGACTTTGAGATATTGATTAGAAATGATTCCATAAGATCTTCTTTCTTTAATCCTTTCTTTTGATGGAATACTTATGATGTTAAATGAAGGTGCATATTCCATGAATTCTGAGTCTTCAGAATCTTTACTTTGTCTTCAGATACATGAGCAATAACTCTTATGATGAGAAAATCTTGACTTCTGATCTTGGAGTATAAGCTTTTTCTATATGTGTTCAGAATCTTGACTTTGTATTTAGATTCATAATAAGAATCTCTTATAATAAACTTGTCTTGACTTCTGATCTTCTATGTTGGAAGCTTGTTTCTTGTCTCCTCTTGATTTCTGATCTTGAAGCAGCAGCTTATCAGAAATTCTTTTTTCTTGGAAACTCATTGAGATTGTTTTCTTATCGAACATTTAGCATTTCATAGAACTACTGATGTTACATTAGAAACATAACTCAATGGCTCTTCTTCTGAGTGATAATGTGATTCTAATGATATCTTGATTAAGACTATCCAGAATACTAACAATGTATATATGAACACTCAATGAAACCATTAGAACTAAAATTGTTCTGCATAAAATATATACTTGTTATCATCAAAACTTAGAGATTAAACACATATCCAAATCTTGTTCTTACATGAAGGAGGATAAGAGTATTCATGACTTCTACGTGAATATTATTGAGATAGCCAATGCCTCAAGGGCTCTAGAGGAGAAGATGTCAGAAGCCAAGTTGGTGAGAAAGATTATCATATATCTTCCAAATAGATTTAACATGAAATTGACTGCCATTGAAGAAGCCCTAGATATAAACTACATGAAGGTTGATGAGCTTATGGGATCCCTACAGACCTTTGAGCTAGGAATCAGAGAAAATATGAAAAGAAGAAGAGAATATTGCCTTTGTCTCTAATACTAATGTCCTAGAAGATGAATCTGACCTAGATACAGAACAAGAGATATCCAACGTTATTGTGTTACTTGGAAGACTGTTAAACAAATTATTGAAGAAAGTGGATTGGAAGTCGGGGCCAAATGTATAGAATAAGTCATTTAACATCAACAAAACCAAGACTTTAGTAGAAGGAACAAAATTGATGACAATTCCAGCCAAGGAAGAGGAGTTCAATGTCATAAGTGTGAAGGGTTTAGACACATAAGAGCTGAGTGTCCCACTTATCTCAAGAAGCAGAAGAAAGTCATGTATGTGTCATGGTCAGGGGAAGATTCTAAAATTGATCATGAAGAAGAATCTGCCAAGTAAGTTACTGCCTTGACTGGAATTTGTGACTCTGATGAGGACTAAAAGTGTGAAGATCTATCTTTTGAAGAGCTTTCTACTTCTTACAAGGAGTTCTACCTCAAAAGTCACGAGGTGGGCCAATTAGAAGAAGAGAAAAAGAAAATTATTGCTCAATTGAAGGTTGAAAAAGTGAACCACTTGTCCATCATCTCTGGTCTAGAAGCATAAAAAGTAGAGGACTTGTGCACCATCTCTGATCTGAAGGGTGAAGTTCATTTGCTCAATTCACAACTTGATAATATGACCAAGTCTATAAGAATGCTTAACAGCACTTCTAATGCGTTGGATGAGATTATTAAGTCTGGAAAGAATGCAGGAAATGTTAAATGGGTTGGCTATGTCAATCAATCTATGAAGAACAAAGGCAAAAGGGTTGAAGTTAAGTTTATTCGTCCAAAGGAAGAACTAGAACAAAATATGTCTAATAAAATGTTCCAACATCAGCATGGACAATAGAAAAATCACTCAGGAAATAAGACTCAATAAAGGAGATGTTATTATTATGGTAGGTTTGGTCATAAAAAATCCTTTTCCTACAGGTTGTATGGTTATCCCAAACCGACTACACAACATAGAAGAAAATATAATGGTGTTAAAGCCAAGTCTAAGAGGCTTCCCAAGAATGATACTCATGGACTCATACTTCACACCTATCTCACAACTTCTACAAGAAAGTATTGGTATTTTTGTAGTGGTTGTTCTAGACACATGACTGGTGTTAGAAAAATTCTTATTCACATTGAACCAAATTCCTCTAGATATGTCACTTTTGGAGATGGGTCAAAAGGTGAAATAAAGGGTGTTGGAAAGATGAACGGCATTGGTCTTCCAGATCTTGATAAGGTATTGTTTATTAAAGGGTTGACTGAAAATTTTGTTAGTACTAGTCAATTGTTTGATCAATGTTCAAAGTTAACTTCACTAAATCTAAAAGTTTGATAACAAATGGAAAAAATGAAGTTATTATGAGAGGAATTAGATCTAAAGACAATTGTTATTTATGGACTCCTCAAGAAATGGATTGTGTTTCCAAAAGCTTGATGACAAAAGAAGTTGAAATGAAGTTATGTAATCAAAAACTTGGTTATTTACACTTAAAAGGTATGAAGAAAGTTATGTCAAAGGAAGCAGTCAGAGGTATTCCCAAGCTGAAAATTGAGGAAGGAAAAATCGGTGGTGAGTGCCATGTAGGGAAGAAAACCAAGATGTCACATCCAAAATTGCATCATCAAATTACTTCCAAAATGTTAGAAATTCTTCATATGGCTCTAAGGGAACCTAAGCAGGTTTTGGTAGAAAGAGGTATATTGGTATGGTTGCTGATGATTTTTCAAAATCTGCCTGGATGAACTTTAACATAGAAAATCAAATGGCATTGAAGTTTATAATGATTGATAGCAATTACAAATGGGGAGGAATGCAACAGATTCTCTATCCTTCCTCCATATTATTGTGGTTAAAATTTTCAAACGATGAAACAAAAGATCTCTGCAAATGGCTGATTTGAAGAAGATTTTTTTTTTGAGGTGATGACAAAGGAGGTCAGTGGTAACACTCCTAAAACATGTGATAAATTAAAGGAGTGTAGGAGGTTATTTGATAGGGGAAAGAGTTGGAAGACCACCTAAAGATGATCAAGATTGTATGGTTCCCAATGCTATAGTATGCTTCTATTGCTACTACTGAGGGTGGTATGTGTGTGTGTGTGTGTGCATGATGTCTTACCAAATGTTATGACATCTTTTCTGATATGTGAACTTGAGAAGTTCATATTGGTTTGTTGCTCTGGATTCTCTTCTGTCTTTGGATTCCATCGTGAGGGGGAGAAATAATTGTCTAAAATAAGATAGAATGGTTGATCACTACTGTGAAGAAGACAACTACCATATGTGGTTCATCATGAATTATTTTGGTCATCCATGTGTGTTGGGTATTTTTAGATGGAATCCTCAAAAGTAAGTCCAGTGGTTTGATCATTGTGAAATATACTATGTCCAAGCTTATGTTGGGACATCATCTCAACATATTTAGACTCCGGGTGTTTGGAGGAGCTTTATCTGAAGATTCTCTAATCATCGTTGCTTATTGTCTCTGTGTTCAGAGATATGGATCTAAGAGATCTATTTGTTTGGGTCTCCATTGGATTGGGAGTTAGCTTTTGGTGATGTGTTTGAGATTTTTTTTCTTTGGCCAAGTCTGATGGAGTCAGTGTCTTTGAATTATTCCTCTTTGTGGCTCTTGGTTCAGCTGTAGTTCTCTGTGTATTCTGATCTTATCCAAAGTCGACGGTTAAAGGTTGAGGGAAGTATGAACTCTCAATATTTTTGGATGTTCAAAGATTGCAATTTTCAACCAGGTGTTGTGACATTGTGTTATGGAGAGCTCAGTCCAAAGGTTCCAAGAATGAGGTGTGTTGAAGCAGGTTATTATGAAGGGCACATTTGGAATTGCATTACTGAAGAATGAGTGTAGGCTCCAGTGGACGATATGCTTACATCTAGTGTCACCTGAAAAACATTTTCCAATGGTTTGGAGAAGTCACACTTGATGTTTGAACATTTATACAGTCAAGACTTTGAAAAAGAGAAATTTAACAGATCCATGTCTCTCTCCTGACATGAATGGTGCACCGTTAACAAGGAAGACTTTATCTTCTTGGAAAACGCATGC